AGCACATTCGGAATTCACGGCACGACACGGTATATGCATTTCTGAGTTCGCATTCTTTACGAATCATTGTCTCGACCATTGTTTGACACTTTGCGGGGCGATGCCGGACGGTTCGACGACCGACGATCGCGCATCCTCTTATCAAAACACGGTCGAGTATTTTCGCAGCGTGGTGCAGTCTAGACTTTTATTAAATAAACACAGCCGCGCTGAGCTGGCTGTCGTTGCGAGACAAATTGCGCAGGAACTGTTGAACCCGTGAGGACTGCTTGATTAGGCAACGTGTTGTCAGCTATTATTCTTATTATTGTTTACATTATTGCTTACTTTATTTTCCTATGCTTTTCATTTCGTTCGAAAGTCGTTATCTCTTTTCATATTTTCTTAGCTGGCAATTTATTATTATTTTCATATTTTCTGTACGTATAAATATATGTTACTCTTTTTATTTTTATTATATCACAGGCTTAGATTTTAAGATAAGTTGATGCCTCGTTTTTTTGAGGTGCATCTTTGTCTACTTTATTTTCGTTTTACAGAAATCTAATATTTGCCGTTTTAACATTGAAAGATACTAATTAATTATTCCTTTCAGTAATTATAATTGGCCAGCATTAAATTTCTGTAAAGGTTAATACTGTACATTTACCCTAATTCTTGTTTTATTTGTACTTTAATAAAAATTATTATTATTATTATTATTTCATGACTTTCAATATTAACCTTAGGTAAAAATTCATATTAGTGGAGCACCCCCAATGACCTTGACCTTGACATACCTGTTGGAGGTCACTCAGGGTCATGACCTTGACAACATATGTCAAGAATCATTGGGGGATGTTCCCCTAATCTGTATTTTTATCTAACCTTAGTATAAATCGATATAATTAATCAAATTAGTAGAGGAGAAGGTGATATTATGGCACCCCAGTTACATTTTGCACAATAACTTTGTTAATAATTAATCAATATTTAAGTTTAAAACTTGACAATTACATTCGTTAAAATGTTGTTGAATCGATTGTGGGCTCAAAGATACGAAATATTTATTACTTAGGATACTATTAACAAAAATGTGACGACATTGAATAATGACTCGAAGAAAAAAATGGATGGTAATGTGGCCTTCCATAAAAATAGCCTTAAAATATTAGTTTTGTTCAGAAAACAGTATTTGGTTACAAAATTAACAAAAAAGTAAAACATTTTAAAATGTATGCAAATGAATGTATATACATTCACATAACTTCTGCATATGAGCTACTCAGTACTAAAAATAGTACACGTAATATAAATTATAGATCAACAGTAGAGCTACAATCGATTATCAAATTATTTTGACATGAAAATCTCAAAAATGAGGTCGTGAGTAATCAATATCCATAGAGGGCCACATTAACAAAATACCATGGTATTGTTTAAATTTGCATAACTCAAAATATATACAATCAAATAAAATGTTAAATAGCAAATAACATACTCAAAAAAATATATATATATTCATGTGATAATACGCTCAAGTTTAAGAAAAATGAGGGGGGAAGTAGGTATAATTAAATGCTAAAATATACCTCAGAAACGTTCCGAAATACTTGAAAGTAAAAATGCGTGCTGGTTATTGAGTATTGGTAATATTAGCGTCATGACGAGCTACTGAACTAATAATTCCATAAGTAATTATTAGGATTCGCTAATAATAGCAGAGATATTAAGGGAGGCCATAATATATACACTGGCCATAATATCACCTTCTCCTCTAACTTAATATAAATGTAATCCCATGGAATTGTCTTAAATCCTTTTTAGAAATTGCTAATTTTATTATTTTTTTCAAAAGAGAAACTAAACCAGAGAAACTAAGATGAAAACTGAAAACGAATAAAAAAAATTAACAAACAGAAGTCCTAAAGTATAAGCTATTGGAAGATTAGATATCCTCGGTATATTGAGAGAAAAGTATATAAGTATAAGTGTAATTAATTGATATTACTAGATATTTCTTCCAACTCGTTAGGCAGAATAATCTCGTAAATATATCGACATGCATGAGTTTTAAATTAATTTTGGCACTCGACAATAACGCTGTTAACACGATCAATAATGGACGTCGAAGAGGAAAATGCGCGCAATGATGTACTCGCGAAACGGCCGGCACTTACCGCTCGTTTACTGAACCGGTCGTGTCTTCCTAATTAGAATCGTTCGCTCGGAATAGTATCTCGCCAATTAACGTGTGAGTAATAAATCACCGCTTTTACCTAGCGCTGAAATTACGTAAGCGCGCGCGATTAACATACTAACTGTACTTTGCGCACGCGAATGCATATGTTTGCCTTGTTGGCGTTGCATCTTCTCGCATTTTTCAATCTCTCGCTTGCAATTAACGCCTGCTTAATCGCCGTAATTAACACGTAATTCGTAAATATATCGATTAAATACTAAACATTAAATACAAAGCGAATGATTCTTTATATTTAATTTTTAATTGTATAAAAATGAAAGATATAGTATCACTTGGATTGTATTCTTTATTTAATTTGGTATGGTTAGTATGGGATTTAACTTGGCGCCAGTTGTTGATATCAAATTCTTTATACGAATGATACATGTCATTAGAGTTAAGTAAATAACAAAGATAGTACCACGTGGGTTTTATTTCTTAATTTAATAAAATTTAGCTTGATTAGTTAATACTATAGCATTTGGATTTAATAATTTTTCATTTAGTACATTAACTTTTTTCGAGGAGTAATTTTTGTTGTAGGAGTTTAGAGCATGAAAGTGCACGAAGGGACATGTAAGTACAGTTTAAAAGATGAACCACCAACCATCATGCTTGAAATCATGTACTATGTGCATGTCGGCCATTTTGTCGCGATATTTCTGAAATCAATTGCAGTACTTTAAAAAGCGACTTTAATTGACCTTTTCTGTAAGACTGAAACGTCTTTCGGCTCATGTCTCCACTTTGCCTAGAAGGACTCTAGACCAAGCCAAGTTTGCTAGCCAAGTTTTTTTATATATTAAAATTTTTTCTGAGGACGATGATGATGTATCTTAAAAATTTGACATTTCGTATTTCACATCGCGATATTTCCGTTAGTAAGTAAAATGTATACGTAGAAAGTAAAAATACTTTTATTATATAATTTAAACCCAAGTTGTTGATTGAGTCTACTCAGAAGGTGGTCAATTCAGTCATTTATCGAGAGATCCGATAATCTCGAGTGCTCGCAACTCGCTGACTCGCATAAAGACGGGGCGATCTCCCTACACTTAGCACGAAACATTATCGTGTCTCTTGATATTTACACTAATATATTAATTTCAAATTTACTGTTTTAAAGGTCATAATTATCATTAACTATCATTAAAGTTATACATTTAATTTCTATCATATGTTTTTCTAGTGCAATAATACCGAAGAACATTAAATGCTTATTTATAATTAAGTTACACTTCTTAAATTAAAACAGAAAAATATATAATAGCGCAACTGCAAATGTAAAAACAAATCAAATTTTAAGATTTCTGGTAATTCATAAAATATTTTTGAACTAAAACTAAAGATTAATTTTTTGGAAAAAGTTTAGTACTGATAGATAAGAAATAATCGAAAGGAAAGCTAAATAAATAAATTATATGTTGTAATAAGATATTATGTATTTCTGATTAATTATGAATTATAAATATATAAAAATTGTTTTTTTTAATGTCATCTTCTTAATTAAAATGCGTTCATGTTGCGTTAATTATTACATTATAATTATATATCAACTTTGGAACAAATACGAATACATCTGATTCAAATTTCAAATACAGTTTTATAATTACATTACATTACTTTTAGTAAGTTAAAAGAATACTTCTCAAAACATGGTAATAATTAATTTTACATAAAATAAAAATTATGTGCATATTAGAGTAATAAATACATGAATCAAGTTTTAACAATAAAATACTGATGTTTGAATTATTCAAATAATTTGTTGAACAGCTGGATTTGACTAAATCGACAATAACTATTTTGAATATTTTCAGTATTATCCGCAATATCATGATATAGTTTACATCTCTAATATGTATGTATATACGTATACATATAATATAACTTCCCGGGAAAAAATGTTTTATATATAATTATGTATAATTATATTAAAAAATTGATACATTATATATAACATTTTTTCTCGAGTTTACATCTGTATAAATTATGTAAGATGTCATACAAAATATATATATGAATTGATACATTGATCTATTTAAAAAAAATCAAATATTAGTAATACTATTTAGTAAACAATTAGTAAATTAATGAATAAATTATATATTAGTAAGAGAATTATAATCATAAAACTATTTTCTGTTAAAATGCAAATCAGATAATTACTTGTCAAGTGCGGTTACTTAAACCTATGTTCCAGTATCCATGTCAACATCATTGTTATTACTAACATTTCGTATAGTATGGTTTTCAAACTTTGTCAGGGAATCTAGATTCTTCTTGTTATAATTAGGCTTAAATATAAACGCAGTAGTTAAGATATTGGAAAAGTGTCACTGCAAAGAAAATAATAAGATCATATTTTATGCGTGTATTTATGCTAAAATTATATTTTATAAATATTATTTGATTATTAAATCAAAATTAATATTCTTATTAGTCATTATATTTCTTAGAAAGAATGTCCAAGCTCAGCTATCATTTAAATTTCAAAATATTTACGCAACTACTCATATGTGAAAATATTTATCAATCACTGACTATATCGAAATTATATAAGATACAGATGACAGTATATTTGAATTAATAAAACTTAATATAGATTTGTTTAAATAATTTTATTTAATACTAAAATTAATAACGTATGAGTAACATATTTTTCTCAAATTTAAATAATCTGTATTTTTTAATATTAAATGCTTAATTTTGTTATATTAATTATACATACTAAAATATATTAATCCAGAAGTATAAAACAAATTAATATTAATAACATTTACCTCTGTTGATCTTGATTTTGAGTAGGTTGTCTATTTGTACTTTTATGAGAACTTATACTCGCATTTTCTTCAACTACGGATTGTATCGTTCTATCCATTTCAATATCTTCAAAATTTGATACAGGTTTGTCTGAAATATATTGTTCATTATGATTAATTATATCATAAAAGCTATATATGTTAAGTATATAACAAATATGAAAATGTATAACAAATTTGTATAGCTCTTTACTTTTAAATATAAAATATTCAATTTTGTTACATATGTTATAATTGGATATAACAGAACAGACTAAAAACTCAAAATATAAAACATTATTTAATAACATTTACCTCTGTTGACCTTCTTGAGTTCTAGCGTTTTGTTCTGTTTTTTAAAAGTCGATTCTTAAAATTCCGCAACGCAACATGAGTTTCATAGTGTAATTTTAAGACATTTACTTCAATTAAAATATCCATATATTCAGTGCAATAGTTGCAGTTTACGATAAAATGTTCCATGGAGATTGTGAAATGTTCGGATAATGAATTATTTGCAATGTCTGTTTGTATCTCAGCTACTATTTTTTGTGAATGTCTTTGTTTTAGATGCCACTTTAAATTTGGTATATGCACACGATAAAATAAATTGTTGCATAATGTACATTTTGCGATATAAATATTTGTTTTTTTGAAATATCTCCATATCGAGTCGTTGTCATTTTCCCACCTTAATTTTTCTTCGTCATCAAATATTCTATGTTTATGGTATAAATGTGACACCCATATCATTCTTTGATCATAGCCATGTTTATACGTCTGATTACAATATTTGCACTTTACTTTACCGTTGTTTATTGCAAAATGTTTCCATATCCAATTATATGATTCAAATCCTCCAGCTGCCATTACATCCGCACGTTACCACGATGTGTTATTAAATACTATATATCGATTATGCCCAGGAAATTGTTTAGAGAAACTGTTTGGGGAAGGACGATGAAAGGAGAAAGAGAAGGAGAAAGATTGAAACATATAACGTCTCACTAAAATGTAAATATTAATGTCAAATAAGAATTAAGATCCGATCGTGTAAATGTACAATATATATACGTTTGAGAGCGCCAATAAGCGGTCAAAGTTAGATGTTATGAATATAATATATATTCTTATATATATATAATTTTTAAAATTTTAATTATCACAGATGTGACTGTGCGCCGAAACATTCGGGCATTAACCACAATCGATCTGAGACGCTAATAATATAAATATGATGAGGAACCGAAACATTCGGACATTCCTATATATGAAAATAATCCCCCCTAAATTAATTCGGTAAAAAACTTATAAATTATAGGGATTAAAAAATTATAAATATATTTTTTATTCCCTAAAAAATATTATTTCGCTTTTTAAGATCATACTTTTTAGCCACGTTATGAAGGTTTCAAGTATAGAATTTTTCTAAAATAGTAATTATCTTCTTTATTTTAATCTTCTTCGATCTTTTTTATATCTTCTTCTTACGACAACGAATTCATTATACTTATAATTTCTAGTTTGTGAATATTGATATACATGTAATTTATAGTTACAGATTTCTCCATTGTTCCTCGAATTTTTAAGAAATACGAGTTCTTAAACAGACGTGGCTAGAGAGGACACACCTATATAGCGTTTTCGCCTTAGCGTTCGATGGTAAATAAACACCCAAATCAGATCAAAGTCGACGTTATCAAACCCGCACGATAAGACGAGCCGCAAACATAGAATCCATGTGAAGATGCAAACGTTGTACACGTTAAATTGATGCGTCGTCATCGAGGTGGACGGCGATTATTTCGCGTCGTCTCGCTAAGATAGATCCAGAATCGGCGCTCTTCTCTCGATAAGAATACAGCTCTAGATATTAACAAGTGTAGCGTAAATAACTGCCATCTTTTATTTGATGACGGACCCATACAACGCAGAATCTCGTTGCAACGTTGCAATGTTCCTGAAATATTGGTGGAATGTTGCATTGTAATACTGCTGTAATAATCTGTGCTGTATGCATTGAAGAAAGTTGGTTTATTAACCTGAAAAACGTGGACATAATAATCAGATTTTAGTGAAATATGGACACTCCATAATTTTAGTTAGTTTACGGTAACCAAAATTATTGATTGTTTATGTTTCATTAAAATCTGATTATTAGGTAACCAGACACATTTGATTACGTGAGTTCTAATGAAAATAACAAAACTTTTAGCTGGGAAATGCTTTAATTATGATTATTCAATTACCAGATTTAATTATGATTATTTAATAATAATGATCAGAAATTCTGTTAAATGAAACTTTAAATTAATTTGTTTAATTGTGTAGCATATTTCTTGGATTTTTACTTAATATTGTTTAAAAATTAAACTTAATATAAATTTAACTTAAGCTTAATTAAAATTCGAATACTTTATATGACTTAAATTGTGAAAGTAATTAATTTTGTTCTATACTCTACTAGATTTCCAAAATTACATGTTTCGGTTGCCTCGAAAAGAACTTGATAGGAAAACATATAATTTTGGAGCAGAAACATATAATTTTGGAAATCCATTTTACGATTATTTGAAATCCCTAGATATATATAATATTGTTAATTTAAGATTAATGTTTTCTTTTTGCCATTCTGTTCTAAGACTGGCTCAATTTTTACTCTTTAGAGTGAGATTCCACTCTACAAGAATTTAGAGAGGATACTAAAGAATTAAATTGCTCTTTGAACGAGAAACCAATTAAAAGGAATGCGCTACTCTCTTGTAAATTTAAAGCTCCAGACAAGACGCCGCGAAAGCAGCTGCGAAACGTTTCGATATCTAGTCGGTGTTTCCAGAGATTTTTCCTTGAGATACGAAGCCTGCTGCGTATCTCGCAAACGCATTTTTTCTCGGCCGATCGCGCTGCGTTCCGCGAGTCGCGAGATGGACGCGAAATGTCGCGATATTCCCGGCGGCGGAATGGCTATATTTAAATCCCACGGTATTATGCATACGGTGTTACATCACGCCTCATTTCTCCCCATCTCCCTCTCTCCTCTTAGGATTAAAATAGCAAATTTGCGCGACGCGTGGAATCGTAGCGCCGATGATAACGGTCGATCTGCTCGGGCTGGCCACGACCGCGCAGCTGCATCGCGTCGTAAAGCCGCCGATAAGCAGGCTCGTTATCAATTTCTGACAGCGACTGCAAATATATTTGCGCGACGCTCGAACGTGGTGGACTGCATCATCATCCCCGGCACGGTCGCCTTGTTATTCGGGTACATGCACCACGCTTTCACCTCGTTGACTTTGAATTGCGTTACATTGTCGCGATAAGGCATTTTGATGGTTCGACCATTGAAACTACTACCGATTTCCGTATCCACAAAAAAAGTTTAATTTAATTAAAGATTACATTAAGCTTTAAATTAATTTGTTCAATTGTATTGAATATTTCTCGGTCGATTTTTACTTATTAAATTAAACTCAAAATAAATGTAACTTAAGCTTAATTAAAATTTGAATATATTATATAATTTCAATTGAAAGTAATTAATTTTAATTAGCTTTAATTATTTGGTTTAATTAAATGTAATTAATTTAACTATATTATCAAATTGCTTGTCAATTTAATTATTATCAGCTTTAGTTAGGTCGTGTTTTTAAGATTGGCAAATATAATTGGCGCAGTTTGTTTGAATTAAAAATGATCAAATTTACGTATATAAATATTATTAGGCACTTAAGAATCGCTTTGACCGAAAAAATAGTCTTTTTTAGTTGGAGTAATGGTCTAATTGCATTAATTAGAATTCTGGTTGAAAATAGAGAAATCAGAATATTTTTCAGTTAAATTTATTATAATTCTAATTGATGAATAATCTGAATTCTTATTGGTATAATTAAAAAATCTTCTAATTCGATTTTTCTCAATGTACTTACGTTTTAATTAATTCAAGTTTTCATTAATTCTTCAATTATCTCTCTTGCAGGGATTACAAATAGACGCTGTTAAACATGAATCGTTAAAAATCGTTTATCGAAAATGGTTCACATCGGTTGGTCTTTCAATCGTTCGGGTATGTATATTAGTTGGATTTAGGTCACGTGAAGAGACCAAGTCGTATTATTGTAATGTGCGAGACTCACTTATCACATGTTTGTAGAGTTATTGCAGCGTTTGCGATGAACCGTGTAGTCCCCTGTAGATAAAAAGTCAAAGGGAATAATTGGAAAATCATCGCCGATGCTTACGACGACTGCGATTGTTTGATGCACTTGTAGTCACACCTCGAGCTGCGATTATGTAACAAGCAAACGATTAATATCAAGCAAGCTATAAACAGCGGTGTTTTTTTCATCTCGCATCGCCTAAGGTTTAATCGCTGTAATATGAATTAAAATAAGTTCCTCCAATTAACTTTGTGGACCAGCGATCTCATTTATTTTCTTTTATTTTGTAAACTGATAGCTTGATTTTTATGAAACTTAGCCTATGGGAATTTGATAATACTTTGTTCGTATCTGAAGTAAAAAATAATAACTCAAAATGGTAGGCAGAATTTAAAAAATTTGATTATCATATAACCCTTGCAGGTTTTAAGGAATTTTTAATTATGAAGTATTTATAAAACATTAGGTTTTCAGTTTCTCTTTATTTGAAGCTCATTAGTGTTACGCAATCAGGTAGTACTGATTTTCAAACTGACTTTCAACTGACTTTCGGATACATATTGTAAATAAACTGTGATATAAGTATTACATTATTATTAAATTATTTATTATAATTTTTCACTCGACAATATAAATGTAGGTAATATAACACATATTGTACATAATAATTATATTATTAAAAGTAGGAAATTATAACATTAATGTAACGTTATTGTTGTATTTTGTGGAAAACTTTGATGTTTCTGATTAGCTGTATAATATTAGATTTTTTTTCATGAAGATGCCTCTTCGCCATATTTTTAGATTATATTTAAATTCATACCAAGAATCGTCTAAAATCGAGTTTTACGATAATCGGATTATTTTTTTGAAGTTTGAATTCTGATGCATGAATCGAATTCGGCGACCCCGAAAACCCTTGAACGCAATATCTTCCATAGGTTACATTATTAGA